CCAACTCCCTCACCACCTGCATCTGCTTCTTCTTCAGTATTGCCCGCAACCTTCATTTCTGCTCTCTCAAAGCACTGTTCATCTCCACCTCTTTTTCATTGCAACATCTTTCAGTTGACACCTCTGAAGTGAAGAGGCCACTGAATTCTACCATTACAGAGTAAAACCACTCCGTATTGACACAACCAGCTATTAGTTTTAATCCTCAGTTCTGCATTCCAAGGGATATTTTGAAAACATACTGAAAACTCATAAAATATGTGGCGTTCACTGGAGCCAGGGCTGACTTCTGCACTGTGCCTTGGCACAAACACGCTCCATCACCTGTGACATCTCTCCTGCATTGACCATTGTTCAAAGCTTTCCTGCAGGGGCCTGACGGAGCAACAGGAGCTTGCTGAGCTTTTGTCAGGGCAGGAGCATAACAGGGTGCAGATCCTGTCCTGACCCCACCAAAGAGGGGTTTTTCCTGCATTCCTTCCTGCTGTGACACTCAATGACAAACATCCTCTGGGCCTCTATGTTACCAAATACAAGTACATGCCAACGTTTAGCGAGGACAATTTCAGCTTTCCCAATCTAAACTTTCCATATGATGCAATGACACTGTCACTTATTTACTGAGAACCCCAGCCCACGTAGCCTAGAGAAGTGTCTGTTGGCTCAGAGCAAGCTTTAGGAGCCTGGAAGAAGCTTGTTTTGGTTTAGATGCCAGGCCCAAGACTGCATTTGAACTCCTGTCTCCCCACCAGAGGTTTCTAACCCATCCCCCGTGTCACATGTGCAACACCAAATTCAGCACAAAAGCACTTCTGGGAGAAGCTTAGGAATGGAGAAAAGCATAGTTATTATAAATGTTTCATATGTCTGTATGTAAAGATAGATAAATAGATAGCTGAATATGTACAGACATCTGTACACCCACCTACACCGGTATCTATATGAAGTCCTTTTTAGACCCTTCCCCAAATTTGTAAGTGATTGGTGCTTATAGAGGCAAACAAAATGAACTTTTAAGTTAAGCCAACTTGGGTGGCTATTTGTGTCACAACAGTTTCTGAAAAAATGATGACAGCACTTAAAAGTCACCAATAGTAATAATAATAATAACGGTAATAAAGTATTTTGCTTTTATTTTGGCAGCTTATGCTGCATCTTGTACTTGCTGCTCAATGCCTTGCTATTTCAGTAGTTCACTATGAAGCAATAAAGCAAAAGCCTTAAGGCTGGCTGCTTAGCTTACTAGAAGCTCTGTTACAATTTGGAGAAAAAATAAAACTTGGAGCATTATCAGTAAAACAGAGATTCTACCCATACCCATTAAAAATGCAGTATTTGCTCTGCAGACCTGCAAAAACTTACTTTAAAAGGTTAACTG